AGTGTCCTTAAGCTTGAAATTGATGGTCAGACTATCTATAAGCTGTTTGATGGCTACGAACTGCTATCCTTCTCAAAATAGAGTTTGAAAGCCATTGAAGTCTTGATGGCATATGGTATAACTATAGAACATTGACTTTTTGCTGAAGATTGTTGTATAGATTCAATGTCCAAGAAAGATAGGCAGATCAAACCAACCACTGAAAGTTGAGTTTCACATATTTACGCATTCATTTATGATTGGTCACTCAAACTGTATCTTTTATAATGATTTCTGTCCTCGAGCAATTCATTATCAAGTGTTGAAGGGTTGTATAGTGATCTAAAAGCAGTAGACATGATCTGAAATAATCACAAGTCCTCGTGTCAGGGTCAAGCACATGAAAGGAAGGAAAGGGAAAGAGAAGTGGGAAAGACACTGATGATATATGCTTATCTGGTTTTGAAAAATTTGAGATCCAAACAAGATTTGTTGGTTGCAAATTTTCCAACGAGTCATTAAGTAAAGCTAAGTATGTTGTGCGGTTGAGATAAAACCAGTGGCTCGACTTTTATCCTCTGACAAACGAGTGTGTATTATCTGCTTTGACTAAATGTGCTGGGTTCAATTGTGTGTTGAATTTTCAAGAACCAATTTTGAAGTTTGTGTTCCTTCTTTGTGCGCTCTAAACATTCATGTGCAATCCCAACATAATCCATCTGATTATCTTTTATAATTTCCACATTGAAAAGTGGACTATGCCACGGATGTTTATTGCTCTTCAAAGATAATACTTACTTTATGTCTCTTTCTTTCTAAATGCATATTGTAGAGCACTACAGAATATTCATAGGCATACATAAGTATGACTAACGCGGCCTAATCCCTTCATGGGTCTTTATCCTCGCGACAGAGGAAAGGAAGTGAAAGAGGTGAAAACACATAATCCCAAAATGAAAAAAAAAAAAAAAGGAAAAGAAAAGCAGTGAAGCGCATAAATGTCACTGTCAAGAGTGACTCGTGTATGAGTCCTGCAAAGTTAAAATGAACTGTGATAATTGTGATTATATTTTATATTAAATAAGTGAGAATCAAGTGATCGTTTGCCTAACATGGCAGAAAAGTAAATTTTGGATCCCACTTGATCCATCTAAGCAATAGCAATTGAGCACAATATAGAAAATCCAAAGAAGATTCATCTGAAAAGTTCTGCTTAAAGTAGACATATGAACAGGGGAGGAAATTTCAAAACCAAACTTCCTGATGAGATTTTGATGTCAAGTACAGCTCTGCAAATAACACTATTTTAAGAGTAGCTTGAGTTGTAATAGTTTTTGCTGCTTCATCGCATTTTATTTGAATTTTCACTGAAGATTCTTCTTATATGGACTCTCTCTATACATCTATATATCACCTAAATCTATAGTAAGTCTACTATTCATAGGTAAACCAAACCACTGAGTTGAATATGTTTACTTATGACTGGTTTAGTCAAATCATATCTTTCCGGAATGAGTGTCCCTGAGAGTTTTTCCTCTGTGGCGGTGATTATCTGACCATGAGAAAGTCATCATCATTCATTGAAGCTTTGTGTAGTGATCTGAGAATGGTGTACAAGACCAGTCCGTGGATAATAACCACAAGTCCAAAGAGGGCAATGATTATGATAGGAACCAAAGGAAAAGGGAAGTGGGAAATAAACTCCTCATTTTCTTATCTGATTTTACTAATGTTGTTTGCAAATTTTCCAACGAGTTCATAAATGCCATTGCTTTAGGAGAACTCAGGAAATCATTAACATGAGACTTCAGAACAATTTGAAAGAGACCTTCAAGATAAGTATGTTTTGTGGTTAGGACAAAACTAATTTATGGACGACTTCGAAGTATTATCCTCTTTGACAAATGTGTGTATGTGTAAGGAATCTGAATGTTTAATGCTATTACACCTCTAATGCAACCCATTCAAAGTCGGGTTACTTAAACAGATTTTGTGCATGAAGTGAAGATTTGATAATCAAATGGTTAGGATTATTCAATGTTTCAATAGCTTAGATATGTTTTTAGTTTAGAAAATGAGACATTTAGATTTATAATTTGTAAATGTATTAGCTTAGACTTGATGTAGATGTGTAGTATGAGAAAATGTTTTAAACATTCAGAATCTGTATGTGTTATCTTCTTCGACTTGCTGGGTTGAACTGTGTGTTGAATTTTTCATATTTCTCTAGTCATGATCTTGAACGTTTAACATATCTGATGGTTGAGTTGCCCTTTTTCTGTCTTTAACATATCTGTGGGATTCCAGCATCTTCCACGTGATCAACTTTTATCTGTTTAAATTGTTGTATACGCTTATTTACGTTCATTTGTGTCACTTCCTTACCTAAAACACATTGTGCAGCAGCAGATCCCTTGTGATGCTGCCATTAGATAAGTATTTATCATTCATAATTTGATCTAGATAACTTCAATTGAAATTTTCTTGTTTTTCTATTTTGAAGGAAGCAAAAGCATGGTGAACATAAGCTTAACTACTATTAAAACAAGATAAATTTTTTTTTATTTGAAAGTAGTCTATAGACTGCTTTCATCCTTTGTTTTGCATCTTTAAAGATAAAAAAAATCTAAGCAAGGCATGGTCATACCCTTACACAACCTTCTGAATGCTATCCTATACCAAAACAAACATCAGTATGAGGTCTATTTTACTTCTTTTTCCTTGTGAAAGATAAAAGGACTGATGCATTAAAAAAATGTGTTTTTGTTAGAGATTCCCAGGAGTTAATAAGTGAAATCACCTAATCCGAAGGTGACCCAAGAAAAAAAAAAAAGGTCATTCATGTCACTATCAAGAGTGACTCGTTCATGAATCCTCCAAAGTTAAAATGAAACGTCATCATTGTGGTTATATTTTATATTAATTGAGCTTCATGAAATTGTTTTGCTGAACATGGCAGAAAAGTAAAATTTGGGTTCCACTTGATTTAACTAAGAAACTAAATATGAACATAATACAGAGTATCCACAGAAGATTCGTCAGCAAGGTATGGTTAAAAGTTAAAACAGACATATGAACAGGGGAAGGCAGTTTCACAAACTTTTTGATGAGATACTGCTGTCATGTACAGTTCTGCCAATAACACCATTTTAAGAGTAATTTGAATTTCAACAGTTTTTGTCGCTTTAATGCCTTTCATTTGCCTCAGAAAACTGAAAACTGAAACTCACCCCACAGAAAAAGAAGGGGAGGTGGGGAAGAGAGGAGCCAGAAATGATGAGGTTTCAAGTTGTCACTATTCTTTAGTATTTTATTAAGTTCCTTGTCGTATGAGCACCAATTTCAATTCAATTTGGCCATAAAACTTGTGTATTTCCACAGTACAGTCACTATCCATTGGAAATGATTGACTTTATTTTGCAGATAACCCTTGGTGGATTCATTTTGCCTATGCAGAAACAGATCAGCTCAATTTCTTAAGAATTTTTTATTATTTTATGCTTAGATCAAACTCTCCACATTCTTCAAACTTGGGTTGACACTGAGAGAAACTAGGAGGAAAAACAATTAATTATTTATGTGCAGTGTATATATTAGCATGTCAAACCTTAAGTTCAAGGGTGGAGTATTGTGATAAGATATGCTTGATCTTCCAAAAATGAAGCAGATTTCTTCCAATTCATGGAAACTTCCTTGAAGGTGCTGCCCTGTGGGGTTTTGACTTTTTTTTCCCCCCCCAAAAGTTAGGCAGGCATTGTAATCCAATTTGACAATTTTCTCGACAAAGGAAGAGGGTTTTGATGTTCTTAAGAATTTAAAGATCGCTTTTTTGTCTACAATACAATCATGATGCTCCTCACACATCTTCCTTTCCGCCCACAAGATCGACCCTTGTTTGTCCCTTGTCTGATCTATGTTTTGCGGCCATATATATTTCAAAACAAGCTAATTCTTTCTGCAAATACTTCCCCTTCATGCTTCTGAATGATTAGACCATGTTAATTAAGCAGAAAAACTTACTGCCTTTGATAGCTACTAAAATTGTTTCAAAATATATATCTTTTCACTTAGAGAGGCAACTTCTGCCAGTTTAAGGTTATAAGTGAGATCAAACCCATAACCTTTCATTTATAAAAGAGCTTCCATGTTATTAAGCTGTAAGACTATTGGCATGTTTCAAGATATGTTGAAAGTGCGCTTTTGCAACTTCTCAGTCTCAGATAATGCCTCTTTGACATTACTTTGAATCAAGACCAAAAGGTTTCCGGTTTCCATATACACACTACGATGACACCGATAGATTATTTCCATTAAAAAAAAAAACTCATGGCCCACTGTCACATGTTTGTTTGAGAATTGTTATTGCGACAAGAAATACTAGTAATGAGATACGATACGAGAGAGAATATAGTATAGAAAAAGGTGACAAGGGAGGATGAAAACTATTCAGAATAAAATTGGTAAAAAATGTATTTAATGTTGAGACACCCCTAAGTAGAATCATATAAAAAGGATTAAACTAATTCAAATTTTGAGATGTTAAAAAAAGAAATAGATGAAGTACAAAGTATCTCTTTTAAGTAACAGAGATAGAGGCAGGAGAACATGTAAGAAAAGAAGAAATGAACGTAGTGCATACTTATACTCAATATCTTTTTTTTTTTTTTAAATTTTAGAGTTACTTTCCTGACTTAACACTTCAAAATGTATAAACTATATGCTCGTTAGAGAAATCATAATTTGTACAATGAGGCACTAACACCACCATTTCCCTTATTCATCAGTCTTGAATTTCCTATATGGGCTACGGCTTGTTTTACCATTCCACCGCTTGCTTGAATACCTCATTCCTCACTATTGTATAATAATGGCACAGCATGACAATCATGAAATATTAAAATGCAATTTCAAATATCATACCACCTTCTATGTTTTTTTTTTTTATTAGAGTCAATTTAAACACATACAAACATTAACACCGGGTTCAAACCCGGGATCTATCCAAATGTGACGGATGGCACTGCTAAAAGTTGGAAGATGTGAAAATGATACATCAAACACAGTTATTTTTCGTACCATTGAGTTGTAAACAGAAACAAAATTTGATGGTGTCATTGAGAAAACCAGAAAAAAACTTGGAAAAAAAAAAAAAAACAGAGGCACGTAGAGCTGTTATTGGATAACCGGCTTGTAAAACTCATTCAGCTCGTAAGAGTAAAGAAAGTAAGAAACAGAGCAATACAGAACATCATACATACGAGAAAAAAAGTACGAAACTTTGATGTATTTTGTCTGTGTGGTGTTGTTCATGTTAATGTTCATAGAAATCTCAGAAGTCATCAAAATCCGTGAGGGTATTGGCAAAAGGTGAGCCAATCTGCAGATCTGCAACCATCTGGCGAAGATCAGAAGCTTCTTCCCTGAGCTTAACATTCTCCTGAAGAGCCCTGTCATGGGACTCTGACACATGGTTGAGTCTATGAATAAGGTTGTGGTTCTCTGTCCTGAGTCTAACCACCTGCGACCACAGCTCATCCATGTGTCTCTGTTTCCTCATCCTCGACCTTCGAGCTGACTCTCTGTTAGATATCATTCGTCTCTGTTTCCTCTCATCGATCATGCTTGTCTGCTTCTCTTCAGCTTCATCAGAGGTTGAAGAAGAAGCAGGAACAACATTATTGTTAAATTCACTGTGAAGAAGAAGATGATGATGGGTTGTGGTCGTCCCAAGGAGGTTGGTTATGTCGAGGTTTGTGAAAAGGTTTGTGTCGGGAAGAAAGGTGGTGATGTTTTGTGGGATTAAGAATGGCTTGTCTGGGGTTAGGTAGTGGCTTGTTCCTCTGATCTCAGAAGGGATCATGGCTGCAAAATTTACAGGAAGAAGATGATGATAATGATGGTTGAGAGGGGCTGATGATTTGTGTGTTGTGGATATTTGATTTGGTGTGAGAAGGCTCAGGTCAGGCAATGATGATGGGATATGGTGATGCGAGGAGTGGATGGGATTTTATAGGAGGATGATGGCTCCAAAAGGTGGAAATGTACGTTTGCAGGAGTTTGCATTTTTTTTTTTGGCCTCTTAAAATTATACTTTCCCGATCTTAATATATGACCTCATTATTCAGTTAATTTTAGTTTTAAATATAATACTTATTTGTCATATTTATGACTTTTTCTAGATTACTCCTATTAATACTCTCTCAATATAATCAAGTAGAGAGATAATGAGAATATTAAGAACGATGATTATGATGTTTTAGAAAAAATATCATACTTTTTATAATTAACTAACTTACCTAATTTTTTAATATAATCAAATTAGTTAAATATGTCTTATATTAAGGATAAGAAGAGTATGATTTTTGAGTACTATACCATCAAATTCACGTAGTATTGTATCCAATTGGAAGCAGTTGTTTCAATGTATTTTTTTTTTTGGTGAATTGTTTCAATGTAATTTTTTATTCATAATCTTTAAATTCTTCTAGTTAACCTAATTATTTTGCAACAAATTTGAATTTTGTTTAAATGGCTAGTTTTACGAGTTTTGAGCTTTATAAATATATCATATTATATCCATTAACCATGTTTAGGTTTATAAGTGAATGAATTACCGGGTTTTACATTTTATTCATATTAATTATAGAAATATAATGCTAAAAAATCAAATCCTGATCTAATTACTATGTATATATATATGACTTATACTTTATAAGAATGTAAAGTCAAATTTTACTATTAATATATTTGTAAGCACTTTTTGAATCAATGGATATACTCCAAGTCTTGTAGGCCTTTGAGACATATAAAGTAGAAAAATCATTGTGCAATTTCACATAACAATCTAATTACTAAAATATTTTACAATAAGTAAGCAATATATATCTGATGTCCTCTTTTGCATCGAGACTTCTAAATGATTAAATTTCTCGTATAAAAAACTCTCATTTATAGGTTCAGCAGTTGAAAGATTGAGCGAGCCCACTAAAAGAAGTGAGTTTGGTTCCTAAAATTTTTTTCACAAAAAAAATTACTTATGTTAGATTGTGTCAGTTAATTAAACCTCTTTAACTTTTCAAAAATTACATGAACCTTTTGGTATTACTTTTGGTTCTAATTATAAAACCTTATTTATATATAGTCTATAAACGAGGTTTTATAATTAGGACCGAAGGTAGTATCTCTCTAATCCTCACATCTCTTAATAGTAACACATTTAATACTCACTACATCCTATTTTTTTTTCCTTTTTACCTTCAAGCATTCTATGTAGAATTATTGACTGGTATTGTGATGAGTATCCCAAATTTTCTAAGATGTGACTTATATTTTACAAGGAGGAGCATCATAGTCCCATTACGTTGATAAGCTTCATAAACAGTGTTGTGAATAGCATATGGCCGGTGGCCAAGTTGAAGTTAAAATTAACAAAGAAACGATATAATTATTGCAGAGACGAAGCAAATAGAAGCAGTTCGATGTATGAGAGAGAAGAAAACCGAGTTAAAAGTCAATTATTATAGGGGTGTGTGTGTGGGTGTGGGCATTGGTGAAGAGTTTTTAGTTTTACTTTACTTATTTAATTATTTCCATGAAGACCCTATCCAAATTCAGGAAGCAATTTTGAAAATTGAAAACTCTTGATGAAGGAGCCAATATAAATAAATAAATAAATAATAACCCCTCGTGACTCATGACGTAATGAAGTCCAGTTTAAAAGGGAATCTATGAGAATTATTAAACTTTGTATGATTTTATTATTATTTTTTTTAATGTGTTTCATACTTTTTGTAATTCTGATGAGTCATGCGCCACTCACTTAAATATATATACTCATTTAAGCATCATTTTGGTCAAGTTGTTAACATCTTGTACCTAAATCTTTACCCATTTTTATTATTTTAAATCCTCAGAATCCAATTATTCACACACTGATTTTGAACGTCTCTCTTCTTAGACATTCTGTGAATTAAGTAAATCGTTTTTTGTCAAGCTAAAAAGGGTTTGTCCTATTTTTTAATATAAAAATTATTAGATAATTTATTTATATAAATTATAATTTTTTAAGATAATGTAAATTGAAGTCTTACATTAAGAATGAAAACAACCCATTAATTAACTCATACACTTAGAATAAAAAAGAGTATCACTATAAAAGTCAATTTCTTATAGAAAAGAATAATAAAAGAGTCGCTTCATATTAAGCTCTAACAAGTGACAATACTCCAATTAGAAATACTAGAGGAGATGCGATGCCCAAATCATCTTTTGATTCTTAAAAAGCAGTTAATTAACTTGGTGGGAGAGAGAAGAGACACGTGAGAGTTAGGGGGCAAATGGATAAGTTTCACTGGGAATGGATTTAATGTTGTTCATTAGCTTCCAATAAAATAACACCTCCGTCCTAAAATTAAGTCGCTTGTAGAGAGTAATTTTGGTTTTAAAGTAAAAATGTTTCTCCCATATGATGTACGGATTAATATATTTTATTAGATTTAAAATTTTAATAAATTACATTATCTAAAATAGTTGAAGATTTACTTCTAATAGGAGCATATTTTTTTATTCATTTTAATAGAATTTGAATTAGAGATGTGGAATTTATGGGGAATAGATGAAAATTTAAAATTATTTATTTATTTTTCTATTTAAGCCTCCAACTAACATACTATTTAATTATGATATACCCCATTTAATTTAATATATTCAAATCCCAGTTCAGATACTATTCACATTTAAAATTATTAATTATTAATTTCTTCGGTTGAGCCTCCATTTGAAGTTACATTTATTTATAATGTTTCCCATTTAATTTGATATATTCAAATCTCAATCAAGATGTTATTTAAATCTCATTAATTGAATATATTCCTAGGTATAATGAAAATAAAACAAGGTCATTTTAAAATACACAATAAATGTTGTGGCACAATAACAATATAAAATCATAGTCGACCACAGAAATCTTTGTGTGTTGGGTCGATGAATAGGGTCTATGTAGTACATAGAGTCTAAATCCATCCTATTGAACGCTTTACACACACACACACACACACACAAATACACTTGAATTTAAAATAAAGATAAAATAGCTAAAAAAATGAGTTATAAGTATCAATTCAAGTAATTGTAAATAGTTAAAAGAATCTCATTTGTAAATTAGACATTTAACACTTAATCATCTACGCATTGAAAATTCTACATTTTACCTAATTAACTTTAAACAAAAAATTTGGGACCTTACTAGTAAATTAAATTTTTGGGATTGAACATCAGTCATCCGCTTTTATTTAAATTAATGATTGTTGCTTTCAACATTCTTTTTTCCCATTTCTATGTCAATTATATCTTTGTGGCTTAGAACTGAATAATAGGTATAGCTTTCTGTGCTATGAGAATTAGTTTATGGTATAACAAATGTCTCGAGAACAACATTGAAAGGTCTTCTCTTCCACTTTGTTAAACAATTTTCTTAGCTTTTTCTATGAGGATTCGTTTTCTTTCTTTTTCTAGGTGCCCATGATATACCTTGTCATCTCTATCTTGCTCACCACCAACTCAAAAGTGGGGGTTTCTTGTTGCCATTATCAATTTTCAATGAAAGTTGCTTAGGACAATTGCTATTTTGCTAATGGGTCCTCCTAATTAAATCATAAAAAATTGAAGTTACAAAATGAAATATCTACTTTTTTGCCTTTTGTTTTGTTATTACGAAACAAGGAACTTGGGGGATTCTCCACTACAGAAAAATTGATAGATGAGGGTGAAATTCAAGATATTAAATTAAAATGAAGGGATATAATGTGGTGAAGTGCAATTTAAGAACATTTACTTTACGTTAAAAGTCAACCAAATGATGTGTAGGAATTTCTCTGGAAAATATGTGCTTTTTAAGTCCATCATGCATGCGATGTTATTAATATATGTAAAATTTGGTAAATATCTACCATAGTGGTGCTTACATTTATGATGATGGGGCCTTTGTAGAAGAATATTCATAGAATTCAAGGGGCTTCGATTATGAGCATATCCTCCGAACCCAACTTGTTTATTAGTTAAATCTAGAAGAATGCCATAATGGATAGAGCAACTAAACTTCCTTTATTAAAACATATATAGCACTTTAAAAAATTGAACTAATTGACTATATATATAGACACACACGCACCGGTACCATAGAATGATTTCTAGCATAAAATATATTAAACATAACTGGCCACGCACGTACGCGTGCAATAATATTACATAAGACTTTCAAAAATTAAACAGATTATTATATGTTCATCAAATCTATATATAATATAAAACTTTAATAAGTTGTAGTATTTACAAGATATGTGTAAGTATTGTAACTTAATTTTAATGATGTACATGAGAGCCATACTAATCATGGAATAAAAAGAATATAGTTTGGTACAAGTCAAATATTTTTAATTATAATACTACCTTCAGTCCTTGTTATTTGAACTACAAACTAGATCTTATATTTTATATTAAGAACCAGATGAACTATTATTTTTATGTGTCAAATTAGTTTCTTATAGAAATTATTTAATACCCCTCGGTCCTAATATAGATAAATAATTTGTAGACATTAAGAAGATTAATGAAGCTAGTTAATTATAAAAAAAAATGTGTGTTAGTTTTCTTAAAATGTTCTCTTTAATCATTTGTGTCGAAACTACTTTTTTATGGAAACCCATATGCAATCAATATGGATAGTGTAGAAAAATATTATAAATTTGATTGATAAAGTAATTAAATTGAGCTTTATATTTATAATCAAAATAAACTATTTAATTATTAACTCCTATATTTAGCACAGGAGAAAGTAGTAATTAAATTTAACTAAATAGAGAATGAGAGAATTAATATGATTTGCTCAACAAATTAAGAGGTTAAAATAATAGTGGGTAGGTTTCAAATCATAGGAAAGCCAACGGGGGCGTGTATAGAGCACACAAGCCTCGCATTCAATTGCACAGTCCATCAACTCAAAATTTAAATAATGCCTCTTACCTTTAATCATTCCTTCTCATGGTCCCACACACCTGCTTCCGTAACAAACATGCACTATATGCAGCCAATTGGAATGAGTGATAAAACTTTTAAAAAAATAGCATTTGCGGTGTATTCTGTTGTTAGTGATGGTTACAAAATGTGAAAGTAGCTTTGTCTTGAAAATTACAAAAACACTACCAGAGCTCTTTTATATAAAAACTAATTAGATATTAAATTTTTAAATATAAGACCTCAATCAACTTTGTCTTTTATATTTGTAATATTTTTTTAAAAAATATCTCTATTAATTGTAAAGGGTTCATACTAAAGGACAGTTCCCATGCACCTGATTAAATATGATAATTTAGAAAAGTCAATACATATTTGTTACAATTAATTAACTTAATTAATTTTCTTAATCACTCTAAATTAGTTGTCTGCCTTTTATGTCAAGGACTGAAGGAGGTAGTATTTTTTTAATGGTTTTCAAAACATAGGTTAAGGTTATGCCTTGTAAATGGGGGAAAAAAAACTATATTGAGGGAGTCTTCAATTGAAGCCTAATATATATTTTCCTTATCTATTCAACCTAAATAACCATTGCTTCCAACGTTATAGTGGCTTATAACAAATGTGACTTAATCTTCCTAAGATACTTTTGTGTAACATTAGACTATATATCATTTTATAAGTTAGGTAAACTAGTTTGAAAAATGATGAACATAAAAGACAAAGCATATTGAATTCTTATATTTAGAAACAAATCTAATCCCTCAATTATATTAAGGACTAGAGGAAGTATATAAGTGAAAGGACTCATCACTTTGACGTTTTATTAAGATTTTTAGATGAAGATATGATGTTGTAACTATACGTTAAAGGATGAATTCTAGGTCCAACAAAATTTTAAGGCAAAATATTCCTTTTATGAAATAAAAATTAATGCACTTGGTATTTATTATATTTTATATTATTATTTAACAAAACAATCTTTTAAGTTTGCGCAATTTTTTTTACCAGTTACGCAAATCTTTTAATCTATTTGATTTGATACCTAATAATGTGCTTAATTTGTCTCAACTACATTCCCTACCAATATAAACATACGGCAATCCCTAACTTTTCTGTCTCTTCTTTTTGTCTTTCTTCAACAGCTGAGCTCACCAATTTTGGATGTCATTGGCTCAAACAGGATAAGCTCTATGTTCATTAGAGACGTCCTACCTACCCATATAAAATGTTATTCCTTTGACAAATCCCCACATTTTATTACTTTAACAACCACAATATTTATAAT